CAAAGGGGCAGCGTCCTTGTCGCGTCCTCTTCCAACGTCCTGCTGGGAGCCAGCTATGGAGGAAGTCGAGAACAAAATCCTGGCCTAATGAAAGGTGTCCCCGCCCCCCTTGGCTACGCCTCCGCTCTGCAGTCACCTCAAGTCTCAGCTCTTCAGAACAAACCCCAGCAGCAGTTGAGGAAAGCTGCGGAGTTAGCAGTGCGCAGGGGCGGACTGGGGCATACCGTGCCACTCTGGAAGCAGCGTGGCGCCACCAGCTGAGGAAAGCTGCAGAGTTAGCAGTGCGCAGCGGCGAACTGGGGCATACCGTGCCATTCTGGAGGCAGCGTGGCGCCGTGCCCCCATCCGTTTCCATGGCAGGGCTGAGTGTATGGAGCACGTGATCTGCGGCTGTGAATGAAAATGTGACGCATACGTGTCTATGGTCATGCAGCATAGCCTAAGCCGTGCTGCAGATTTGTCTCGCCTCAAAAGCACAAGCCTAATTCCAGTTCGCATACGTTTCTCGCGGTTTTTCGGTATCGATAGTGAACACATCTTGTGAATGGCGGCTACTTTTATGCTACCTTATGCAGCCCGTCATGCCAGCCTTCAACCTGACCTTGTTCGTGGGTGAAGCCTGAAGGTATGCACAGTACGTATGTGCATGCATGCACAGGGAACGGAATATGCTCTCTTTGAACGTTCTCGCATACTGCCTATTCACCGACGAACACCTCCTCGGCTTGTGTTCAGCTCGACCGCCGTGCCTATGAATACAATGAATACTGAACCATATCCATCTCCGTGGGATCGGCGATGCAGAGGGCCGGAAGACAAGCGTGAGTGACGAATTAGGCTAGTGACTTTATGGCATGCGAAGCTCGTGATTTTGCTAACAAGGCCTCTTCATGGCAGGGAGGAACGCACCTGAGATGTGGAGAGCTATACAAGTTAAGGGATGTGTGGATGCATGGGATATGAAATATAACGTGCAAATACATAACACCCTCAGATGAAATAGAGCATACACAAATCACGGGTCGCCCAATGGTAGTAACGAGTCGCCCAACGTGCACCAAGCAATGGTATTGCTTGGTGCACGTTTAGATATAACTAAACAGGAAAATACTGAGACAACACATTGCGCTGCTGACTGCTTACCCAAGCGAACGCAACTGATTTCCCTTTAACCCCCACCCGCCCCCACTCACTCATGCTGGGGGGTGCAAATGCCAGTGCAAAGGTGCAAATCGGTGATTGGGGTGCCGATAGTGTAGTAGTTAACGTGTCTGCGTTAACCACTGTGCGTCCGGGAACCAGAGGTACGAGGTTTGATACCCCGTGACCGTGGTGCCCGCCCTTCCAGCCAGGGCAAGACACGGGCGACGCCATGTAGCCGCAGCAGTCGAGGTGCGTCGTAAAGTCTCGATGACGACTTCTGCTCTACCTTTCATCTCCTGCCCTGTATTGTCATCTTCTACTCTTTCCTGTTCTACCATGTCTTCTCTCATCCTGCTCCGGGCGTTAACCTGTCTTGTTCTGAATACCTATCCCCCATATCCCGTTCTTTGGCTGCCATGCCATGTCCAGTGATGGCAATGCCTACATGGAGATTGGGGAACAGAAAACGTGATTTTTTCCCATTATTTATGTGTACTGTATGTCCATGAATGAAGTTCCCCGTCTCCTAAATGTGCCTGTAGAATGTTTGTTTTTCAAATCGTCCCATTCAAAATGTCATTTTTCAGGTCACCCTGCCTCCTGTATATTTCAGCCCACCCATACCAATCCTGACTGCCCCCGCGATCTCAGAGCCGTGATTACGCCTATGCTCAAGGATATCAAAAATTATTCCACAGTACATTATCACTTTGCAATGCCAATTGACTTTTCTGACTTGCGGCTCTCTGTGTTGTTCTTGTCCTGCTCCTTCTTGCTAACCGACAGCATGCACTTTTTCACGCATGCCACTTCCATGTTTCAAACACATTTGTCATGCCTGCCAATTTTGTGTTTACAGGAGCTATTGTTTGGGAGCACAGTGAGAAAACTTCTTTAAAATTGTACTTCACAGCACATTTTCGTCAGACGTGCCATATCTAGCGGACAGATACGGCCGCGGGATGCTGACCCGCCGCTGCGCCAGTCCGTCAGTCCCGCCGACCGGCCGCCGGCGGGCGACACCTGATGTAGCCCGGTATCGTGTGATCATTAGCGTTTGTAGCTTGCGCCCATGGTGGTCAGCGAGCTGCAATAATTTGGGTCAGTATTATTACCAGTGCTGGAAGTGCGAGGAGGGCAAACACGCCATTGTCATGACGCTGCCATCTTATCTCGCGTGATAATCGCCACGAAAATTGTGGACATCGGGTATGTGGTTCAGATATGATCGAAAGAAGCTGGGAAAATATTGCGATTTCACACCTTTTGAGGTCATACACAATGTCGGTCACGCTTCTGGTTCGCCTAACACTGCATAGGTCTCATCAAACATGCTTTCTAAAAATGAAAATAATGTTCACGCGGGATGACCATTGACGTCAGCGTGGATTGATATCAAAGTTAGGAGGGATGACTAAGAACACTAATTTATCAGCTCACGAGGAAGCACCAGATGACCTTTCTCTCGCGCTTCGACAGGAGCCCCAAGACCCATTTTGAGGTTCAAGGCACTTTTGCCAATTCCGTTCCTCTGGAAAATTTTGTCCTTCACCGTTCATAACTGATTGTGCTGCCCCATAACTGTGTAGGCTAACCTTAAGTGATCGAATCTAATGCATTTAAATTTGATGAAGCTAACAAGCTAGCTGCAAGCAAGTGGTATCTGAATGAAGGGAAATGCGGCAGGCGAGAAAACATATCTAAGAGACATGACAAAGCCAACTTTGTAGCACTGTCGCTTATAATCATATGATCATTATCACCCGTTTATCAGCTCTTGGTGTCGTTATGAGCCACCGAGGCACCTTCTTCTTCTCTCTCTTACTCCATTTCATGAGATCAGTGTAGTGGGAAGAGCCTCCAAAATTATAAGGAGAGGGAAGGCCATGCCTAAGCTTTCCTTCATTGTTCGAAAATTGTTCTTTCGTCCAAATGAAATGTTTTCGTCATTTAGCCAACTAAATTGGCTTTGTGCTACTTCGTTGGCTTCTTCTCATTCGAGGCATCAAAATTCTAACATGAAAACATTAGCGTCATACCCAGCACCTTAATGAAAACTATTAGTGGTTTCAGAGCAGTTTCAACAGTTCACAAAACATGCTGTTTCCGCCTCGCATCAGGTGCAGCTCGTCCAACTGTATGGAAAACAACGGGACGTCACTCCAACATGACTAGAAAAGGAGAGGCAGCATATGTCAAAGGCCGTGGGATCGTGGCATGACCATTGACCAGCTGGTTTCCACATAGTGACGATTTTTAGGCACGCAAAGTAGGCAACAAGCATCACTTTCTCTCCAACACCAACGAAGTAACGTTACTTTGAGACCTCGCGCTGCCTAACTGGTCTCCGAAGAGAAAAACCTCTTGCCGCGATGACGTCACGCTGCACGAAACCAGGCGGAAACGCCGCTAACGCCGTAACGGGCCGCAGTTTAGTCCTGTATGATTGGAAGGTTTTTGAACAATCGAGCTTTGATCGCCGCCATTGCCATGGTTTCAGCGGACTGGACGTAATCATAATCTGTGTTTAAGCCAAACATGCAGAATAGGGTAAGTATGGCATACATGGCCTCCTAGTTTCTGAGCACATTCTTTTTCCTTACGTTTTCTCTTTCTAGTGTGCAAACTGAAAATGTGCAAAATGCTGGCATCGGTAGAAGCTCAATAAGAGAGAGCAGCACTGGGTGGTACTATTATGACGCACCGATTCAGTTCATATCGTTGTGCCCAAAGGCAAGGGCACAAGCGTGAATATTTGTGAACATATGACACGCGAAGATCGCGAGTTTCCGGGATTCGTTGTGTCTCAGGAGGTTTTAACAGGATGTTATAGCGTTTCAGGAGGAACTTGAATGTTAATCTTGGTGGATCGAGTACCTTGAGAACAATCACTGGAGAGTCCTGACAATCGCAATTGGAGTCTGCTGGGCGCCAAGATCTCGCTGGCAATGAACACACACACCTCAGGCTCTTGCAGCACTGAGCTCTCAAGAGAACGTTCTTCTGGGCTTCGCTGAACCGACCTGCGAGCCGTGCCATGGCCAGCGTTTCCTGAGAATGCCGTCGGTGGATTCCCGGCAGCTGCCGGTGCCTCAGCAGGCCCCCGATGGTACCGGCAGCGGACTGGGCGGGGCTGTGGCCTGCCCCGGCCCCGCACCCCTGCCTCTGGCGGCACGACTCAACGCCGCCTGGACGTCCGGGGGTGCTGTTTTTGTGTCGGCGCCGCGGCATCACAATGCCGCCGCGTGCCGCCGCCATTATGACGTCATCATCTTATGGGTGTCAACAGGAGCTGATCGGACGGATAAGGGACCGAGCACAAAACAGCCCGACGCGCTGTTTGCTGCATGTCACCAAAAACATGGGGTTGAAGTTTAGGGGCAGTTTGAAAACCGTCCAAAAGTGCCCATGCTTTCACTTCTTTGCTGCCTTCTCATGCGAGTAATGAGCTTACTCACGTCTGATATGGTAATCACAGAAGTGACCATGTGGGCACTGCTCACAGGCGGCTTTCAACACGGCGGCGTCCCACCAGGCTCTCGGACACGTGCCAAGGTATCTGTCCTTGACCGCTGCATGCTGGTTCATTTCCAGTCCTCCGTCCTTGATTGTCATAAAACAGACCGCACTGAATTCGACTGCGCTCATCCGCCTCGCCTCCGGGGTGATCGATCGGTGGTTAATAACTCCGACCCGATTCTGCCGTCCCCGCCCTCGCCCGCTGTCACTCATCGTGGCGTGAAGCAGCGTACGTCCCGGCGTAGATCCGGCGCGTGCCGGCCGGTTTGTGAGGCGGGCCCGCCGGCGGCAGGTCTAGGAGCGGGCGCCGGCACCACGGGCCGGTCAGTGCGGCTCAGAAGGCAGAGCAGGGCGCAGAGCACCGACGGACGCAGGCGGACATGGCGGATATCAAGGCGATCGTGGCGGTGGTGGTGGCGCTGCTGGTGGGCGCCATCGTGGGCGGCTTGATCGGACACTACGCCGTGCCCAGCAGTAGCTCGGTGAGTGCCCGCCTGCCCTGCCCTGCCCTCTCGGCTCATCTGCGCCGCGGCAATGGCAGATCGGTTTTCACCTAGCCGGTAGCCCCATACGTATTGGTAATCATAACTTGCCGGTGTGTTTACTGCCCAATCAACAAGCCATCCGCTAGTGAAGCGCCGTCTGAAGGTCAGACAGGCTGGTCGTTCCGACTCAGTCGGGATAGCTGGAAATTCCTTCAAAGCATTTCATGCCCTGCGGCTGCGGGACTGAGTTCCCAGCAGGTCTGCGGTGTGTGCGAAAGCGGATGAGCTATTATAATCCCCGAGGGCTTGTGGAATGAACTACAAGCCCTAAAAAACCTGATCGTAATAACGCAGGTATGCAGTGAAAACGAGACCTGAGCCATGTGAGCTTGCGCATAATCAGCTAACTTAACGTGAAACTGATCCCGTGAGGTTCCGACTGGCAGGTGTCGTCATGGATTATGGAGTCGCATTAGTTACGCCCGGTATTCATATCTATAGCATTCCAGAGCCACTGTGCCTCCCAAATATCTCAAGAACACCTGGAGAGGTTCGAGTTCGTTTACCAGGCTAATGATCCAACAATCAACAGCTGAGGTATTGGCGTTGATTGGAAGACCTCTGCCACCGACTCCGTTATGCAAATTTGTGTTACGCCCCTACACACATTAGAGACCGAAGTGACACAACAATCACACACGAGCGGTCCTGTCGTCCCGCCGGCGCAGTGGCCTCTACAGGTGGGTAGAACAGGTGGCCGGTGGGGGCAGGAGGCGCGCGTGCAGTGCGTGCGGCGCGTGTGCGTGTCAAAGAGCGGTTGGCGGCGCGGGCCCGGCCGCCAGCAGCTCTCAAACGGAGGTGAGCGTGCCGCCACTCGGCCGCTAGCGCTCACGACTCGGCCGAGTTACCGATGCATATATTCGGCGTCATAGATCAGGCAGGGAGGGCAGGCGGCGGACGGGAGGCGGCGCTCCAATTTCACACACCAGGCGCCGGCGCCCGCGGGCTGGGTGTGCAGCCGGTGATCAGTAACACCGACCTGGAGACGGTGTGGGCTGACACCGACCTGGAGACGGTGTGGGAGGACTGACACCGACCTGGAGACGGTGTGGGAGGACTGACACCGACCTGGAGACGGTGTGGGAGGACTGACACCGATGACAGATGTCACTCCAGCGGCGCGGACACGGTCAGTGTAGGCTGGTGCAGCTCCCCCCCCCCCCCACACACACACGCCACACTTCCCCCCACTCTCGCAGACTGGCTCCCCCGAGACGGACCGCCGGTAACCGCCGCCGCCCGGCGCCCGAGAAGGGCTTCAGCTCCAGTTGGTGACACACTTAGTGGCCCTGAATATCTCCGGCAGCTGGGAACGGCTGGACAGCTGCAAAACGCAATGTGTGACACACACTGGAAGGGTCCAACCCGTTTGGCTCTGGTGGCGCGTGAGTTTGGTCGTGAGTCGTACGGAACTGGTAATTTACGATAGGTGCGCGTGCCATACTGCACAAGTATACACCCTTTGCAATGCGAGCACCTTCCGCCACTTTCGCCGATGGTTGTGATACATCGTCTGACTTATTCGCAGTTGGATTTTCCGTGCCCACGGGTGTTTTTTAGCATTCAGTTACGGGGGAGAGGGGCATTACTAATTTTGAAAAGGAAGTAGGCCCAACCCAGGGAGGAACCCACTTCCCCGTACTTTGAGGGCAGGTTTAGAAGGTTTAGCTGCTTTTTCTCCTCTCAACTCTCCCACCTACTTTGCAGAACTAAACCCCTGCTTGTTCTTACGACGTAGATGTATTACTACGATTAAATATTTAGTGCCTAGAGTTTGCGATCGCACTACCAGCTGAAGACGTCATCGGCTGTTTCACCGCGGACCCTGGGTGTCTAAATGATTTAGTAGTCACTAGCGATTATATAACCGAGGAGCGGTGCGACATTCTGTCTTGAACCGCCCATAGCGCAAAGAAGAACAGGTTAGTTCAAAACTGAGCTTGTGGAGCATTTGTATTTCCGTCACACATCATGATTTGAGTTAGATTGGAAACGCCAGGAAGCCCGTCATTTTGGAGGGAAGGGCCTGCGTTTCTCTGTCCGGAGTGCCCGTGCCCCTCGGTTCCGCCCGCGGACTGCCGAGGCCGAGGCCATGGGCTGCCATTGGTCGTGTCGGCAGTGACCTAGTGACCCGGACTGACGAATGCCGGCTCTGCGGCAGTGACCAGCGACCGGCGACCGGCGCCAGTAACCGCGTAAACCCCGAGACGGAACCGGCGAAACCGCTGAATCATGCGGTCGGTCGCCGCCATTCCCAGCCGCCGACGCCGGGTCACGCGCGAGTCAGAGCCGCGAGTCAGAGTCCACTGAGAGAGTCGTCCCGAGTCAGAGCCGGGCGACGGAGTTTGACGGGGTCAGGGTTGAGTAGGGAGTGATTGGCTCGGTTAAGAGCACGAGATGACTCACCTTCAGCCGGCGCGGCTCGCCTGAGCAGCGGTCTGACTGCGGGGGTGTCCGAGTCGCGGCTAATGCATGGCACAGGCTCGACGTGTGGTGGAGCAGGCCCCGCCGGGCGCCTACGGCGCAACTCCCAGAAACGCCGCGCGCCGGAAACTCCCAGACACGCCGCATTCCGGACACGCCCAGACACGCCGCACTCCGGACACTCCCAGACACGCCGCACTCCGGACACTCCCAGTCACGCCGCACTCCGGACACTCCCAGTCACGTCACATGCCGGACACGCCCGGTGCGCCACATGCCGGACACGCCTGGCGCACCACTTGCATGCCGCGGGAGAACGGAAGAGCGGTGCGGGCTCGGGGCTTGGTGTGCCTTCGCAGCGTGCCGCGGTGCCGCTGGGTCTGGTTTTCTCTGACGGCCAGCACAAGGGCAGTCTGCGAACTGGTCCGTCCACAATGGGCGGAACTTTCCAATCTCGCTGTGGACACCTCCGGGGCTTAGCGCCAACCGGTCATGCTCCACTCATCAGCCATGCTGTAGAGGAAAGGCTAGGTTACCTAGTCAGCGTCGCGCTCCGCCGAACAGGTTACGCCTTGATTGGGATCATTTGTGTGCTCTCCAAACCACATGTAGTGGACAAATCAAAGCATGAAAGCTTTGCTGTGGGGTAAAAGTATTTTTGGTCCGGCATTCAGGAGCGCACAATGTGCAGAGTAAAACTGTATGGTATGGGAAACGGCCAGACTGATTTAGGCTTATGGTTACAGTGTCTTGGTTGCCACAAACATTCCTGAAATGTGTAACGCGCTTCTGCACTGCTTCAGTCATTTCCACACCTACTGCCTCCGTGCTGGCCTCCGTGCTAGCCTCTACTGTCACTGAGATATTAGCCGTCTCTTTGTTTCGAGACAGCCGTGATCTGTAGCTCCGCTTCGTGCAGGTTCTCAGAACTGCCAGCGATGGCTGACTTGGCGCTGGGCTCGGTCGACAGTCGCGAGCGCGGGACAAACCGGCGCAATTTCCTTCGTCCCTGCATCGAAATGATCCCCACAGCCAAGCCACGGCGTAGAGTGTCGACATAACGTGGGTTGGACAATGTCGGGCACTTTTCACCCCCTTCACCCCCCCTCCCCGCGATCCTGCCTCGCGCGATGACGTCACAGCGCGGCGGCCGTCGCAGCCGGTGGCGCGCGATGTGTCCTCGGGCAAAACGCTGCGGGTGGCGCGCGCGGTAATTTCCGTACTCAGAGACGGGAAAATACCGGCCGGCGCTGGCCACGGTGCCCGACTCGCGATGTGATTGACGGCCTCGCCGCAGAGCGCGGCAGCGTCGGCCTGTAATGACTGGACGTTGCGCAGGCGGGGTGGATTTGTCGCCGCCCATCAACGCGATTGAGTGGAGTGGATCAGTTTCGAAGCGGTGATTACAGAGTTGAGGTTTGCCGGCGGTGCCTCTGATGCTTCGGTGACGGAAACCTTGCCGCCGCAGGTTTTATGTAAAGCGGGCGGCCGCCGCCTGGGAATCAATAGCTTGATGACGGAAAACTTGATTCGTGACTTCGCCGAAAACACCAGTTATCTTAGACTGCAATCAGACATCATGCTCACAGCTTTCACTTACGGCCAGATAAACCTCAATTTTAAATTATTACATGCATTTTTAAGGCATCGATATCACTTCGTGTGATTTGGCCATGCGGTGGTGGAAGCAGCCTTGGCCTACGAGTGTCTTTCATTCTATCTGAACCAAGTTGTCTACCTTTGGCCCTGTGCAAAAAGTTATAAAAATGATGATCAATCTGGGCCGATTAAAATAGAGCTGCTTTGGTGGTCTTTTTTTGCCGATCCAGAGGGCGTTCGTTGTGCCTTTCGATGGTGCACACCAAATTGTTAAAGATATCACTAGTAACTGTCATTTATGTGTGCTGTGAAACGGTGAACGGTATCGGATATCGGCCTGCAGTGACGATGTGTCAAGTAAAGTGTGAGGCGACTTAAAAGATTGTTCCTTGACGATGGCATAGTGCAATGATGTGTCACATCAACATATAAAGATGAACATCATGGTAAATTTGATTAATCTGGTGTGTTTGACATGGAAGTGAAATTATGCGAACAACTGGTCTGCTAATAGAACAATCTGTTATTGGCCAGGTTGACATGTAAAACGTTGAGAGCAGCTGAAGTGCGTTCAGCTGTTCACTGAGAGAAAGGTTTCCGTACCGCACATTCTTCAGTCAATTTCCATTCAAAGTAAGCATCTGAGCCTATTCTTACGCAATCTAGGACAGGGTATTATACTTGTCCCACTATCTTCGCATACATTTGGACCTCGTCAAATTTGAATAGATTTGCGTCGAATAATCAGCTGCGCGAATCATGGCGCCTTTCTCCGTGCGTTCTGTTGGCCTCGTCGTCGGGCGCCGTCGCATCCAATTACCAGGCTTATATGTGCTCAGCTGCACCACGCACCTGTGTTACTTTTCAACCACGGTCGTTATTGCACTGGCGTCATCACACTGGCAACGATGGAG